TGAACTGATGAGTAAAAGAGAAGGAAGACTTTTGCCCCACCCTCTGCCTTCCACTTGGTGCAGATGTAAGGCAACATAGCTGGCCTGAACATAGAGACATTCATGCATTATCTTGGTCATAGGCTGGAGAAATGGCCGAAAGCATATCCATGTAATTCTGAATCTTAATGCTACCCTTTAGAGTGTCTATAAATTCACTCAACTTAATGTCATCTGAGAATTTGGTAAGTGTGTGCTCCGTTCCATCATCCAGATCGTTAGTGAAGGATGCTAAAAGAATCCTGAACCCCAACCCTGGTAACTACATCCACAGAAGGAGCAGGAGAAAAGAGCAGGGTCTTCAGGAGAGCCAGACTTTCATAGCTTGCAGGGGGAGATGCTGCAGTACCAGCCCCACCAGAGACTCAAGGCCTGGAACTGCTAAGAAGCTGGGGAGGGCTGCAGGGCAAGAAAAGCCAAGCAGTTTGTTAGGCTGAGCAGGAACACCTGAGCCTGTCTTCAGGGGCAGCAAGGGGCCAGGTTTGCCTATATGTAAGCCCAGTCTCTGAGCTGGGGCTGGCAGTTCGTGCCTGCAGGCAACAAGCGAAGGAGTGGAAGACAGAGTTGACTGACAGTGAAAAGGAGGTGCCCTGGGGCTGGTGGGAATCAAGGCAGCTCCTTATGATGGTACCATTTGTTATGGCCCCAAGGGGCTTGTAGGTGAGATATAACCCTTTGTTTTCTGGTTTTCTTTTATGTGTTTAAGACCAGAAGACCCGCCTACTGCTGTAAGGGAGGTCTGGAGGCCACAGAGCAGGGTATCAGGGGTACTCTGTGCTTGTGAGACCAGCTTGGGTCAGAGAGGTGTAGGGCTGGGGCCCAGGAACCCAAAGTCTGAGACAGTGGACCTGGGCTGAGGGGGCTGAGCCAGTTAAAGAAGGCTGAAGCCCAGACAAGGGTTTGAGGCTTGAGGGGCCCAGTGTCTATTTGGGACCGAGAGATCCCCTATAAGGGGCAATTGAGGGTCATCTGCAGGACATAGGCATTGCTATGGGGGCAGCAGGAGGCCATAGTTATAGGCTGTACAGCATCAAAGTAGAGGCTGACCCAGTCTCTGGAGCCAGTCTCCTCTTAAACCTATATATGTTAACATCAAGTCATGGCAGGTGAGAAGCAGGAGGCAGAGGAGGCCAGGGAGCACTGACAGAAAAGGGGAAGGCAGATACCCCAAGCTGTCACATGTACCATTTATTTTATAAACCCAGCCATTTTTACATAGCACAAGTTCAAGCTAATATTTTTAGAACCCATGGTGTGACCCCAGGACTGATGATTCTTGAAGGTAGGCATAAAACAACCCAAGTTCCACTGTAGGTTTCATCTATCAGCTTGAGCAAGCTACTTACCCCTGTCTTAATTTCCCCCATCTATATATAAAAATAGTACCACAACATTATTGCCTGTCTCAAAGCGTTATTTGAGGATTAACCTAGGAAGATTTTAGAAGTGCTTTAAAGCTGGAAATCTCACAATGTCCTTCACTATTTATTTTTGCTTAGAAGTTGTTATTTATCAGAGATAATGAAAACATTTTCCTACAAAAAGATCACATGGTGTTGTCCCTGAACATTTTAGTTCATCAGAAGCACTGCTTTGAAATAAGATGTTTGACTTCAACTTTTTGACATTTTTGTTTCAACATTTTTCACACCAGAATTTACACTCCATTAAAATTTTCAGTATTATGACTTTCATCTTGGTCAAGGACAGAACAAGGTTCTTAACAGAATGGAAGGGTAGAAAAGCCATTTTCAGCCCAGCTGTACTGGCTAGGCTAAGTACACAACAGCAATGTGTTAGTACAAGCACAACATTTAAGATTTCTGCCTTTAAATGGGTGATACAAACATTCCCTTTTTATCACAGAAATGTAATTGGAATAGTCTGATACAAATTTGTCTTTTCAAGTGAGCAGCTTCCATAGAGCTGTACCTGTTTTAGAAAAAGTTTAATCGTACAATTATATTTAACATCGTGCTTGAAATCCAGAAAATGAGTTTCTTTTTACTTCTCCTAAAAGCAGAACTAATTTTTGAAAATTGGAACACTTTACAAATCTGAAGTCATTGTAATGTTTTTGTGCTTTTATAATTAGTGGATGATTAGTAAAGAAACATATATGACAGAGTGGGTGGATATTGAGCCAGATTCTGATCTTAGCTGTCCTAGTACATATCTGTTAGCAAATAAAAACCTAGGATTGTGGACTAGCCTATGGATTGACACAACACTTCATTTGATGAGTGACAGAAAGACTTTATTTACGACAAGTATTCAAAATGAAGTCAAGTGAGCCCAAACCAAATCGAAGTCCAGTAATTAGCTATAAGGTGATGGTTTCTCACCAAACAGGTGACGAAGAGGCAGTCTGTTTCTCTTCAACTCCTCGAGTAAGTCAGGCACATCAGCAACTGGTGTCAGAGAGATTTCTTATTTTTGAAGCGCATGCGCTGTTTGCTGTTTTACTGCCTTTTTATACCCTTAGCTTAGCATCTTCAAAGCATTTTTTTAGTTGTGTAAATCAAGAGAGTCCCAAGCAGTAATTGACGGGAAAATCCTGTTAATTAACCTGCTTATCACTGGTTATCATAAATGTCTAATTTGAATGACTTACCTTCTTCAGCAACAAGAGGTTATCCAGTTTGGAACATATCAAGAAACTGATTAACAGCCAGGAAAGCATACTAAATCAGGAGGAGACATCTATCACATATGGAGAATGTCTCTTCCTGCACATAAACACGAGTTAATCGCAAAAGAAATATTTACCATACTAATTAATCAAGCATAGACATTTCATATGGTTACACACCAGATAACTAGGAGTCTGCCTGAAATCATTCTTAATGTAGCAAAATAAGATGAAGAGATACCTCATTATTATTATTTTTTCTCAGATGGCCTAGCTATGAACTCGCATCCTCCTGCAATATGCAGTTAGCATCAGTATTCTGTATTTTAACTTTTGTGAGTATGCCCGAGCTTAGCATGAGTTTCAGAGTCATCAATATCTAAAGGGAATCTACATGCATTTGATGTTAGTATAGATTTGCTTTCACATGGCTGTGATCAAACCTTGACTTTCTGTATGAATACTGAAAATAAAGCTATATTTTCTTCTTAGACATAAAAGATAGTTCATGGGGTTTAGTGGTTTCCCTCTTCTACAGACACATATCCCAGGAAAATTGACTGGCAGCTCTTGTTCACATTTTCATTCTGGTACCCACCTGGTGTTTGTAGGAACCACTGTCACCTAGTGAACCATTTTGTAGCTCACAAGACATTTAGTCTTTTGTAATGGAATTGCGTATGTCACTCCATAAATTCATCTTTGGAAGATGGCTGCTCTTGTCCTCCATCCATTATTGGCCAGCATCACTTTGTTATTTATGATTTCATAGGTTGTACAACTCTTCAAAACAATAACAGCATTACAGTGTCAACATATTTCTTATGCAACACAATTTGCGCTTCTGTTTTTTTAAAGCATATTAAAAATCCAGTTTGTAAGAGTAGTTGGATATTGAAAAATTGCATTTCTGTATTTACAGAACTAAGTACAATTAGTCATTTTTGTAAAACTAATGCAAATTATTCAGGGTGGAAATTTAAAAATTGAAGTTCAGAAAGCATGAACAGTTAATTTAAAATCAATTTGTCTACTCAAAGATTACTGAAGTGTTAGAGAAAGTGAAGCAGGAGATGGAAGAGAAGGGAAGCAGCATGACTGATGGAGGTAAGTACGTGCCTTCCTCAGCGGGGCTCCCTTTCACTAAGAAATCAAGTGTGCACAGTTGAACCCAGATCAAGGAAAAATATAGGAATGAAGGATTAGTGCAAAAGATCTGAAGTAAAAATTCCACAGGAGCCAAAGTGATTTAGGAGTGTGCACTCTAATTTCAAAAGTGACTGTTGCATTTAGGAGCCCAAAATCCTATTGATTTTAAACTTCTGCACTTCTTGGAAAGGTAAGCATAGAATTAGAAATGATCTGTATGCGTTCTAGTTTGAATAATTAACTAATTAAAAATGATTTGAAGCTAGAGCCTAAAAACACTTATTATAATCGGACTGTCCTTGGGAGTAAGCAGAATGCTTGAGATGGGGTTCCTAGCTGGTGGAAATGTTCATTTTAAAACTTGTGTTTATATCACCTTTGTTTTAAATTAAATCTAAATATCCTGTAGGTATCAGCCTCTCACTGCCTTGGAGTATATTTTGCTTTTTGCCTGATAAACATGTTCTGTTCAAAGGAAAAAGGAATAATGGTGCAGATATAGAAAAAAATTCCATAATACGATCATAAATGTAGAGACTGCCACTTTATTAACCGATTAATGCATAACTAGAGTAAACCACTTGTGATGTCTATCGCTTATGAGAATCAAATCCTGTACAGGCTTGTTTTATCAGGCAGAGCCAGCCTCCTGACCTCACACCACCCCTGTCACCCTGCAGCACTGGCAATGCATAGGACAAGTTCCAGAGTGCAGAACTACTTGGAACATGAAATCTACTCCCTGCTAGCCCATATATAATGCAACACAAGGAGGGGAGGGGTGAAGGGGGAGCCCACCTAGCCAGAGGTGGAAGGGAAGAAGGTACATAAACATTGCCTAAGTCCCAGACCCCTTACATCCATCCAGCTGCTTAAGGGGTTCTTCATCAGACCCATTCTCAGCAAGAGGGCTGAGAACTATTGCTGTGCAAAACGTAAGAGATTGGAAAATGTTTTTTATTTTTATACATATCATCAGATCCAAGATGTCAGGAAGGCAGCAAAATTGTCACCACCTATTTCTATTTTTGAAAAGTCTTGCCTGTTAAAAATGTTATCAGTAAAGTCGTGTCTCTAAAGTATAACATCCTTTTGTTCATTCAGCTCTCCCATTACCACAGAGAGTGAAATATAAGGAAAGTAAATGCTTAACCTATTAGATTGATACAGAAATGAACTGTTTATCTGTTTTATTTTTTTAACAGCTCCTTTAGTAAAAATTAAACAAGCCTTAACAAAACTGAAGCAAGAAACAGTTCAGATGGACATACGGATTGGTGTGGTGGAACATACATTGCTCCAATCAAAGCTGAAGGAGAAATCAAATATGACTAGAGATATGCACGCCACTATGATTCCAGAAACCACAATAGGTGCCTATTAAAGTTGCAAGGAACTGACTTGTATTTTAGGCAAATAAAAGTTTCTGTGATTTTTCTGCAATATTGCTACACTGCAGAATATTACAGATGCATACATAGCACTTTAGGTTCTATAAATGAAGTTGTATTGGATTCTGTGACTCAAAGACTTTCAGACTTATTAAAGATCTTTTATAAATACGCTAATGAAGTCTCATTAACAAACTTGTCTCTTCCACTTTGTTTTAATATGTTAAGTAATGGAAAAGTCCTCCATAGAATTTTATTGACACAACCTATAATCTTCAAACCCTGATTAGATATTCTCTAGTATTGAAAGAAAATTACTTGTAAAGGGCTTGAAAGGAATTAAATATGTCTGCTTTTCCATTTACATATTTTTAACATAAGTATTTAATTGCTGACATTGGAATAATGCATTACCCTTTCTAAAGGCCTGGGTCAAATCTGAGCCTGGTTACAAGTTAAACTAAGTTGTTTGCCCTCTCCCCCACCCCTTTCTATTTTCCAGTTGGCGTTTATGTACTGAGCAAAATAACCTCCCACTTTGACATCATTGAGGATGATTGATAGTCTCCTCTGAGAAGGTTAGCCGGGCTGTTGCAAGTCAAAATACAGGTCCTTTGCAAGGCATCGATTAGTTAGGATTATGACTCTAGCAAGACATGTTCTTCCCTCATTTTCATAAGCACAGCAATATGGTCTAGTGTGGTGATCCTCAA